GCGCGAGCCGAGAGCAGCCTCCCACCCTGCCGGGCCGAGCGGGCGGAGCGGACCGTGCGCGCCAGCGGCGGCAGCGGGGAGAGCGGGGCACGGCGCACCAGGGCCGCTGCCGGTAGGATGCGGCTGCGTCCCCCAGCCGGTGTGTAGAGAGGGCGGGTCCCCGGCCTCGGGAGCGCGGTGGTGGAGGGACAGAGGCGGCGGCCATGGCGACCCCTGGCAACCTGGGGTCCTCTGTCTTGGCAAGCAAGACCAAGACCAAGAAGAAGCACTTCGTAGCGCAGAAAGTGAAGCTGTTTCGGGCCAGCGACCCGCTGCTCAGTGTCCTGATGTGGGGAGTCAACCACTCGGTAAGGGCTCCGGCTTCAGCGCACAGTCCCCTTCCTCCTCTTCCTCCCGCTCCCCTCCTCCTCCTGCTGCAGCTGCTGTGGGCGGGCAGCCGGAGCTGCCCGGCGCGCGGGGCCCCGGCCTCCAGCTTGCTCGCCCCCGGGGCTGCTCGCCCTCCGCGGCGTCTCGGTGCCCCAGCCCCGCGGTGCGTGCTTGCCTCCTGTGGGCCGCCCGGGCGCGTCTCGGGCCCCCTTTGGACCGAGAGCAGGTGCGGGGCGAGGGGTCCCGCCCGCATCTGAGCCCTACGGCAGGTGCCAGTGCCGCCACTGGCCAGTTCGTCCGTTCGTCCTTCTGTCCGTCGGTCCGTCCGTCCCCGCAGCCCAAGAAGTGGGAAGTTTGTGCCTGGCACGGCTTTGCCTCTGCTGTCAGCGCTGGCGAGGGCTGCTAAGGGGCGAGTCCTGGCGATCGCGCCTCTTGTGTGTGTGTGTGTGGGGGGGGGTCGGCGCTCCCCTCCCCAGGCGGGCAGGTGTACCTGTCAGAGGCGGGGGCGTCCGGACCCCGCTCCCCGCGGGAGAACTGAGGTGAGAATATGATGAGGACATTTTGGCAGCAGTTTCAGTGCTGAGGTCCTTTTTTCCTTTAAAGACGATATTATTGGACACGGGGCCTTTTTGGCAAAGAAAAAGCCAATGTAAATATGGCAACTGGGTGTTTAGCATCTTCCTCATCTCCTCTCCCCAATCCCTCTGCCGCTGTGCTGGCCGGAGAGCTGCTTGGCGGGGAGTCTTCCTCGCCACTCACCTCCTCCCCCACCTTGGAGAGCTGGGCAGAAGTCACCGAATGCGGAAGGGCGGCCGGGGGGATGACAGGAGGAGGAGGAGGGGGTCTAGCGCGCAAGTGGAAGGTGGTCTTGAGTTTTCTGCACCCGTTTGGGGTTTGTTTTAAAGACTGGAGGTGAATGCTTGGAACGATTAGCTTAAAACACAGCCAGAGGTGGTGGAAGATGCGCCGCTGCGGGCTATGCGGACTGCAGTTTGGGGGTCTGAAATAGCCTGCTGATCTGACAGCGAGAAAACTCCTGCAGTTTTAATCTACTTAGATAGGATCAGGAAACTTGATCGGAGCTGTTGGCTGAGCCATGAAAGTTTAAATGAACCTGTGAATTTTGACCATGACCTTACCCACTGCAGTCACTTAGCATCTGAGGAAAGTGTAAGCTTGCTTTTTCTGTAGTTTTGATTTACATGGATGTCTGTGCGTCCTTCTCAGCATAATAGAGATGACAAGAAACTATATCGGTATTTTAAAGCACACTGTAAATTTAATGAAGTTGTTAAAAATGGTTTAAAAGCATACATAGTATTTGTGTTTTTCCTCCCTCACCTGAGCTGGGGAAAAGGTGAAACAGTATCAGAATCGATTATGTGTGCATGGGGTGACTGTTTTTAAAAGGTCCAGAGATGATGATTTCTATCAGTTAATGTTTGATCCACTGAAGTTCATTTCAACTTACTGACAACTTCTTTAGCTTTTAGGATGTAAGCTGTAGAAATAGCATACATTAGTGCACCAAAACTTAGTCCTAAGTTTTATTTCAGAAAATAAAATGAACTTTTTTTCTATGTAGTGAGTCTACAGTTATGTCTAATTAGTTATGTAGCTCTAATAGAGTTATGTCTAGTTTTGTCAAGCTTTTTGTGTGTGTTGTTATTAGTTACCATTCCCCTATTATTAGAATAGGTCCTGTAGAGGTTTTAAAGTTTATAACCCAATGTGTTCTGGACTGTTTACTCATATTTTTGGGTGCTTTTATTTCTTGTTGGCATTCTGATGTTTTGGTAGGAGAGTTTTTGAGTCTCAGGATTTAATCTAGTAAAATAGTGTCACAATACACTGCTGAAAAGAGTGCGATCTCTGGGACTTAGTCTGAATTCTTGTTTACTTTAGAAAATCTTATAATTGTGTATGTTTTATTGTAATCACTTATGTTGCTACCTTATCCTTACGAATTGCTACATTTTATAGTTTCTTGCTAATTAATTGGAAATATTTTAAGGCTTATAAAAATAACATGATTTATAAATAGTACATCTAGTGTTACTTTCTTTTCCTTTCAAGAAAAATTAGCAGTTCTAAGTATACTCATCCAGAGGAGTGAACTTTCCATGATATATAGTATAAAGATAATATCCATCATTTAACAAATGTAGATTGGGCATATAGTGCCAGCCACTGTGCAAAGGATTGTTCAAATCGCACCTCATATTTTTGTCCAGGTATCTTTATTTTGAGGGCTCTGAATTGACATATAAAACCAAACCCATTGCTGTCAAGTCGATTGCTACTCACAGTGACCCTACAGGACAGAGTAGAACTGCCGCATAGGGTCCAAGGAGCAGTGGGTGGATTCAAATGGCCGACCTTTTGGTTAGCAGCCGGGCTGGGCTTGTAACAAGTGAGCCACCAGGGCTCCGTCTGAATTGACATAAGAAAGGTTTACTTCAAACTTTTTTTTTTTTCAGAATGTCAATCTATTTTGTTTATTATTTTTGAGAAAAGAAAGCAGGTGTTTGGAAAGATGAAATCTTAGTATTTTTGGTTGATTTCATTTTAGGTGACAAAGTCTGATATTAGATGTTTTTATATGACCTTCTGTGCACTAAAGATACAGTATGAGACTATGTCAGTAGTATTAAAAAGGAGCAAGCATAGTGATATATATTAATGGTGACATTTGAGAAAGCATAACAGAGAAGGAAGAGATCATTCAAATCAGAGCCCTTCTTTACATTTCTAATGTGATCAGAATGGGAAAGATTTGTCATAAATCTAGCAAGTTTGTGCTTTTAAATTTTATTTGGATTTGTTTTAAGGGTAATGAGAAATAACCACAAATCTGAAGTACTAAAAAAGAATTGCACATTTGTTTTATGTTGTAGGCATCTTGTAAGCGAATTGGGCATTTCCCATGTTCTGTGGTGGAAAGCTCATTGGATCTGTGTTCTAATTCATTCCCTAACTGTTGACCTTGAGCATGTTAACCTCTTTTTACATCAGTGTTCGCATCTGTGAAGTAAGGTGGCTGAACTGGATGTTTTCCAAGTATTTTCCCTCCTACAAGATTCAACTACTTTTATAGTCTTCTAGGTGCATAGCATTATATTAGGATCCATAAAATAGTAATAGTAGTAGTATATAATAAAAGTTGTGTTACTTTTATAACCTAGTTATAATAGTAACACAAATGCAGCAATTTTCTGGGGAATTTTAAAGTTCTTGACTAGATGGGAAGGAACTCTGGGGATTTTAAGAGATGTGTGAAGTAGGAATTTGCTAGATTGATTGTAGTTGGACTGCATTTCAGTCTCTTAAGTCAAAGCCTATTTGATTGAAATGTAAAAACTTGCAGTTAAGGTGAAAATTTTTAAATCCATGATGGTGAAAGTCCCAAAACCAAAACCAAACCTGTTGCCATCTAGTCGATTCCAACTCATAGTGACCCTATGGGACAGAGAACTGCCCTATAGGGTTTCCAGGGAGTGGCTGGTGGATTCAAACTGCCAAACTTTTGGTTAGCAGCCGAGCTCTTCTAATCACTGTGCCACCAGGGCCTTAAATTTAAATATCCAAAGGAAGACATTCACTATCTGTCTAGAAAAAATTTAAAGGGACTTAAAACTTGTTTAAAACAGTATTTAGAATTAGCCAGGTATTAGTGTTAGAGTATTTTGGTTGCAAGCCATAGAACCTTGAATGAGCTTAGGCAAAAATTTAAAATAATAGAAGGATATTGGGGATCCATTACAGTGGAAGGAAGAATTGGTAACTAAACCATGAGACGAACAGGAGTAGGGCTGGGCTTCTGGAACAGTCAGAACCAGGTGCTTGGGTGCTGTTGGGAATTTTTTGTCTGTTTGGCTTCCTCCAGAGAGCAGGAAACTACTGGTTCCCAAATTTCACATTTTGTGATTTCTGCCTCCCAAAAGGGATTCTCTGTCTCTGACTCAGTTATAAAAATCCCATGGAGAGACTCTGACTGGTCTGCCTTGGGTCAGTTGTGGCCTCCCCTTGATTAACTAAAAAACCAGTTGCCATAGAGTCGATTCCAACTCTTGGCAACCCCGTGTGTGTCAGAGTAGAACTGAGCTCCATAAGATATTCAACAGCTGATTTTTCAGAAGTAGATCACCAGACCTTTCTTTCAAGGTGCCTCTGGGTAGACTCGAACCTCCAACCATTTGGCATGTGTTAACCATTTACACCATACAGGGACTCCTCCCCCTGACTAAGCAGTTATAAAAACATGGATGCTCCTGCTTGTTGGAGTTGGGGGAAGAACAGTTCCCAAAAGAAGGGAGAGGGCCTGGGCAGGCAGTATCAGGCAGGTATCTGTCATAGTGTTATAGCTGGGGTGTTTATCTTGGTGTCTGTGGGCCCGCTGAAGATCCATGGATGGCCTCTGGGGGTCTGTGTGTGATGTGTGTGTTTTGTGTGTACTGGCAAATATGCAGTTTTCTAGGTAGAGTACCTGTAACTTTATTATATTCTTTACAAGGCCTGGGACTCGAAATATATAAATACCATATTGAAGAAATAGTTATTTTTTCCCCCTGGGTTCATGGGTTGATATTTTGGCATTGAAAAAGATACAGGAAACAAATAAAACTAGGTTTTAAAAATTATGTGAATGACTAGGAAATTATATTGACTGAATAGAATATAATGAGGCAATTACATTAAAATATAAATTATTTAATGGAACCCAACTAACTATTCATTCAAGAACTAGTTGCCTCACTCAATTTTTTCCTTTTCCCTTTACTTTTCAGAGGAAAGAATGCCAAGCAGACATACATGAGTTCATGGATCCCCTGAATTCTATCCATGGACCACTTAAGGGGCCTAGGGAACGCAGTTCAGAACTCTTGCAAGAATAAGATGGGGTGTGGGCAACACCTGCTCAGGAACAAAGACGAAAAGGTGGGAGGGGACAAGAAAACTGGACGAATGGGAATGGACGCGG